TCTGACCAGATGGAATAATGTTAGAAATCAAGGTAATTAGAAAATCTACTATAAGTATAAAAATTAAGAAACATATTTCCAAATAATCATAGTTCAAGTAAGAAATTACACTAGAAATAGAAAAATCTTTTGAACTAAATGAAAATGAAAATATTACATTTGAAGCATGCAAGATACAAATAAAACAATATTTACAGGAAAGTATAGAGTGATCTGCAAATATTAAGAAAGAAGATAGATTAATATGATAAGTAAACATATCTGTGTTTGTACGTTTGTGTGTGTGTGTGTGTGTGTGTCTCCTTTTAGAGATGGTGCAGAGTAGAGAAATATGTGGTTTTAATCAAACAGATTTTAAAGTTTGAATCACACTTATGATTTGCTAGCTTTGTGTAGCTCAGTGGTTTTATGTAGACATGTTTCTTAACTTCTCTCTCCTTTTCCCCCTTGGACAATGGAGATAATAATTACTCCGTATCATTAAGCATTATTATGATCTTAAATATGTAAAGACTTTAACTAGAAAGCAATCAATAAATAGGAAACATTACTATTACTGCTGTTTACTCAGCAAACACAGAGATATTAAGTAAAGTGGTTGATAGCATGGGTTCTGAAGCAAAAATTTTTGGGTTCAAATATTACTTAGTATCAACTTCTTAAATCTTTCTGTAACATGATGGTCAAAGTATTTGTAATAAGAATAAAATAGGATTATCTATGTAAAGAAGTTGTCACTGGGTCTGGATCATGTGTGCAAAAAAATAGAAGCTGTCCTCATTATTTAAGTGCTAAGTACCAGGATCTAGATTAGGTACTGAGAATTCAAGCATGTAATACACGTGTAGTCCCTCAGGGAACTTACATAAGTAACCAGGTCCATTGTGAATGACTCTAATATTCCAGGCAATTGGGCCTTGAAAAATATTATATGAAGTTTTCTCATCCTCGTGTTTTTCAAACTGGCCCACAAACATGAAATAAGTCACATTACAGTCAACCCTTGAACAATGTGGGGGTTAGAGACGCCAGTTCCCTGCACAATAGAAAATCCATGTCTAATTTAAATCCACACTCTGCATCCGCAGAGGGAAAATACTATTTCAATACTGGGTTAGCTGAATCTGCATATGCGAAACCAGGAATACAGAAGGCCAACTGTATATTTATTTATTTTTTAAATCTGCACATAGTTGTATCCACGCAGTTCAAACTCATGTTGTTCAAGAGTCAACTGTATTTTAATTGATCCAATGGATCTTTTTTCTTGATTACAAGCAGTCTCTAAGATATCTTCTAATAATAAAATTTGATGATTCCACTTGAAAAATCATGTCAAACCCTCTTGAACATAGCTCTCAGACATTCCCTTGCTGAGTGACTTCGTTGGACTCAGTGTTTTCATTTTCATTGTAGACTGTTTCTTTGAAGAGTTTGTTAATCATTGGGCCTCTGAAGAAAATGCGGTACATTACAGGGCATTGGATGGGGTAAAATAAAAGGCCAAATTGCCAGTGAAAGAGACACCAGTACAGTGAAATTCAGAAGAGGGAATAGGAGAAGCACTTACAGCTTTCTCATTGAAGCTGCTGTCTTCCCAACTCTAACGGATCTCTGTTCCAGGTAAGATTGAGGCAGGGTGGGAAGGGATTTATAAGGGTCGCTTATTTTAGTCTGAAATGACCATCGCATGATAGACTGCAGCTGATCACTGGCACACACGCTCAGATGAAATCCTAACGTTATCAGGCAGCAGGGCGCCCCTGAGGTGCCTGCTGCGCCAGCTCTGCGTTGAATTCGGTTCCAGCAGAAGGAGAGCCTAGGCTGAGCCTGGAATGTTTTAAGATTGTTATTTCTTTCTTGACACTGAAAGTACCTTTATCTTGGATAAAACTCACTTAGTAAAGCTCAGACTCCATTTCTTTCTTTATTGCAAACGTCTACAGTGCAAAGTAAAAAGAAGTTAGGCAACTTGAGGTCTGTAAAAAGAGGCAACAAGTTATTGTAATTCAGGAGCTTATCAAATCTTTGTGGAGCCACTTTTTCTGAGTCAGTCATTGAATGATTTCCATTTTAGAGAATTATGTCTTATGTTATAAAATTGTACAGACTATCCTTGTCAGCAGCCCCTGTAGGCCATTGTTGTAAGAGAAAATGGGTCCTAATCTAGAGATAGCTAATATTATATTGTATGTTAACTATCCTAATCGTAGAAAACATGAATATAACATTATATATTAGCTATTTTAATTTTTTTAAAGGCAGGGTTATTCATTGCAGCATTGTTTGTAATTTTTTTTAAATTAGAAGCTATTTAAATGCACTTGCATAAAAGAGTGAATATATTATGGTATATGTTCCTAATGGTGTAGGCACCAACCAAATAGAATGTGAAAAAAAAAATTTTTTTTTAATTGGGGAATTGGGGGATGGGAACAGCGCTGGGGAATTGGGGGAAGGGGAACAGACAAGTTGCTGTCCTTTTGTTCTTCAGTCTAGTTGTGGAGGACGTCGCTTCACTGGCCCAAGTTGGCACCATCATTACGCTCTTCCCGGGCGAGGCAGATCAGTCGCTGGCTTCTGGACGGCCGCTCACTGTGGCTGCTGGCTGCTCACGCTGGCTGCTGACTACACACGGTAGCCCATGGCAACACACTGCCACAGGGGCTGCAGCCTACGCCGTCGCCGGCGACTCATGGCAGCCCAGCTCCAGGTCGAGCTGTCGCTCAGCATCTTAGCTGTAGAGGGCAGTGTCACTGGCCCTCATATGTGGGATCCGAACCGGGGCCCTCTGGCGTCCCAAGCCAGCTCCTAACCAACGCACCACTCGGCAGGCCCTGAAAATTTTTTATGAACTGATATGGAGTGATTTCCAAATACCTGTACCACGTGATCTTTCATGTTAGAAAATGTGCATAAGAAAACATACAAATATCTGCTCAATTGTGAAAAAGATATCTAGAAAGTATAAACCAGAAACTAAGTAGAATGAAGACTTACAGAAGATGGGTGAGAATGGGTAGTAAAAATAGAAAGAAAGGTAAACTGAGAATGTGGTGGTAAGATGAAAGAGAAGTGACATTTCTCTGAAGATACCTTTTTGGAAAGCTGACTCAGAAATAGGTCATGTTTCACATACTCAAAAAAATAAATACATACTTAAAATCAAGCAAGATTTGGGGGAGGCTGAAATGAAACAAAAACAATAACAAATGAACCTAATTTCATTACAAATGAATAATTTCACCACACTGAAGAGCATGAGGAAGAAAAGAACACATCTAAGAAACTTTGGCATACACTGTTCTGGCTGTGTACATAAGGCTAAAGACACAGTGAACTGTACACTAATAATGCACTCTAGTTAATTTATTTATCACAGGAGCATAAATTACAAATTTTGAAACTATTTACTTCATATGTATACTAATATTGAGCAAATACGTAATATAAATAATAAGAGCCAGGACTCTCAGAGTAAGAGAAAGGAGTAAAATAGAGAAAGGAGAAAAGCTTGAATAAACCCTGTTATGTTAGATTGGAATTGGAAATGTCAGCAGGAAACCAAGGTTATCTACAGAAATGGGTAGATAAAGAACTAAATATAGATGTGTGTACACATGTGCTAATATACATACAGATATTTCTTAACTTCACCCCTGAGAGGCCTGAAAGCAATGCACATACCTAGAGTGATATCTTGGCATCTAAGTTCTGTTACCCAAAGAAAAGAATCAGGGCTTCTGAGAGAAATGGTCGATTCTAGAGCCGAATCAAGGAAAATGCAAGATGGAATACTTTCTGGTGCCAGAAAGGAAGGACGTGCTCAGATGATGATGGGAGCATGCCAAAAAGACACAGGAGCCAGCCTGAAGGAGCCCTCAATGAACAAATCTGGGGCAAATGGAGCAACAAAATACATAATGAGAGCAAAGTATTAAACCCCATAGAATAAATATCTATGAATCTATACTGATACAACTAAGTAATTGAATGAATAAGTGAATAAATGAAGAGGGACAGTGCTTGATTAAAGTAGAGCTCAGTTTAAAAGATATTGAAGGAACAGTGAAAATACAAATTGACCTATAGGCAAACACTACTGTAATAATTACTACAAGGAAGAATCATCATCAGTAAATGCTAAAATTAGCATTAAATTGTTATAAAACTATGATGAGAATATATTTGCATAGTCTCAATAATATGTCCCCAATGGTACTCTCTAATTACAAGGAGGTAAATAGTAACTTTACAATGGAGAATCTGGAAGACACAACCTTATTCAAGTTATTAAAGTTAGACTAATAGCATCAGAGTAAGTTGTATTGACGTGACAAAATCCCTTGATGCAGTGCTCTGAGACTGGCAGAACATCACTTTGATGGCATTCTTGCCAAAAATGCATAACCTCAATGTAATTATGAGGAACCATCAGAAAAACCCAAATTGTGGGATATTCTATAAACTGACCAGCCAGTTCTGTTCCAAAATGTCAAGATCACAAAAGACAAAATAAAAAATGAAGAACTATCAAAGCTGATAGAAGACCAAGGAAATATAACGACTGCAATGAGAGATCCTGGACTGGATCGTGGATCAGAAAAGGGCATTAGTGGGAAAGCTGGTGAAATGAGAACAAGGTGTGTAGATTAGTTAATAGCATTGTATCAATGTTAAAATCCTGTATAAATAATTGTTCTACAGTTATATAAGATATTAATATTAGGGGAAATGGAAATTGGTACATGGAAACACTCTGTTCCTATTCTACAACTTTTTTGTAAGTCTAAATTTTTTCAAAGTCAAGTTATTTTTAAAGAGAACCAGTGGACTAGCTCATAGGACAGTCTTAAGGGGACACATAACTTTTTTAAACACATAGGAAAGAAAGTTCAAGGACAGAAAATAAAATTTTAGTCCATATTGTAAATTCTTGCTCAGCTACCTGACAAGAAATTGCTTTCCATTCCAACTTTTCCCTTGCAGACAAGGTCACACCCTGGACATGGCCTCCAAGATCCACATGCCAGGCCCAATGTGCCTCATTGAGAACACTAAAGGGCAACTGGTGGTTAATCCAGAAGCTTTGAAGATCCTGTCTGCCATTGAGCAGCCTCTTGTCGTGGTGGCTATTGTGGGTCTCTACCGCACAGGCAAATCCTACCTGATGAACAAGCTGGCTGGGAAGACCAAGGGTGAGTGGCACCAGCAAAGCTCTGCTGAGTCCTTTCTGTCCACCCACGCTCCCAGCGTTGAGTATGGTGATGTGAGGAGAGAAAGTTAGAGATGGGGAGGAATATTGAAACCTAACTTGGAATTCACTGATTACACTCCTTTCATTTGCTCTTTTCTGGAGGATAAGAGTCAACTCGCTCTTTTTTCCCTGCTTTCCCTCCATTTTCCCTTTTAAAGTATAAATGTACCATTTTGGAAGGAATAAGGTAGTAAATAAGATAATTACTATACATAATAATAAACCATAAAACATTTACTAAAATGTTTGGATATTAATATCTAGCTTGCACTGTTCTTTATTATTCTTTTGTATCATTGATTTTCCTCTTGTTTTCTTGTCTTTTATTAAGCTTGCACTGATCTTTAAGGTGAAATAAATGTTTCACTTTGTATTAGATATTCTAATTACCCTATTTTTCTGGTTGTAATTAAAATTAACACTGATTATGGTTTCATTTATGTGTTTTAACTTTGATTTCATTAAGTTTTATCTCAATTTCCAGAACCATCTGATATTAAAACTTCAAGTCCTCTTATCTCCTCTCCCCAGGCTTCTCTCTGGGCTACACGGTACAGTCTCACACCAAGGGATCTGGATGTGCTGTGTGCCTCACCCTGAGAAGCCAAGCCACACCCTTGTTCTGCTTGACACTGAGGGCCTGGGGGATGTAGAGAAGGTAAAAAATAAATCTTTTAAATCCTATTTGTGTCAGATCAGTAGCCCTCCTTATGCTATCCCTCCCCACTGCTTGACTTATGCTTCTAACCTATCATATTAAAGTATTATCCTTTTTATTTACTTAGTAGTGGTCAATATTTGACCTTAGATCCAATTTTAAGCCAACCGAATTGAGCTTTATGTAAAGAAAATAAACATAACATATGATCATTAGAAACTAATTTAAGAGTTGTTGCATACCTCAAACGCTGAAATCCACCTGACCACATATATAAGCATTGAGAATGAACAGTAAGGTCAGTTGATAGGTTATACAACCCATAAAATAATGGCTAATGACACTTATAATCCTTTTTCTTTAATATCACAGGAAAATGTTTTGATGAGGCTGCTAAAGGTGCCTCTAAGCCTGGCTAGATATTTTGCAAACATGTCTTACTTTTCACAATTGGAATCCAGAAAGATGGGAAGAGTGGTTATCCATAGCAGTACTATTTGTTAGAAGTATAAAGTATAATATCTAATGCCAACAGCTTAGTTCATAAAGAATTATACATTATTAAAAAGTTGCTGGGCTTAATATTTTACATCACTGCATATAATCCTGAAATAAAATCTATGACATTGATATAATTTCCCGTTTTACCAGCAAGGAAACCTCAATTCAAAAAGGCTGCATGTCACAAAGCCACAAAGTGGTGGAGCCAGGAATGTCACCCAGGCCTGCCTAACTCCAACAGTTTTGCTCTAAATCAGGGGTCAGCAAACTGCAGCTTGCGAGCCACTTGTGGCCCTGCAGTAAAATTGAAAATGAAAAACTATAAGTTTCATTTATAAAATTTAAAAAAGTATTATTCACATAATGGTGATTTCATTTGTGTCAAGACGCAAAATATATTTTTGGGTCTTGAATAATTTTTAAATTGTTGTGAGGGACAGGATTGGCCCTTCCTTCTCAAAAGTTTGCCAACCTCTGCTGCTCTAAACTATTCCTGAAATTAAAGAATTGAAAAAAGAAGTGTCATATGAAATAGTGTCTTTACTTCATGAATCATTCTTTGAAGCAGGAAAAATAGGGGAAAGGAGAATCAGATAATCACAACCAGAAATGCATATATATATATATATATATATATATATATATATATATATATATATATTTAAATCAACACCTCTTCTTAAGGATACTCTAGAATCTCACAGCAAGACGAGGGGTCAGGTCTTGTTTATATGCCACAGTCTCTACAGGAGAAGCATTCCCCAGTAGTCTGTGTGTGGCTAACATTCTCATGGCTTCCTGTACCATATGTGTTATTTTGTCATTTCACAGACCTGTTTGGTAGCAAAACGAGATGACTTTTGTAAGCAGAACGTGAAAGTATCATCAGATTCTTGCATGGCCTTACTTCAAGATATTTTCAATCCCCCAGAAGAAGATGTGAATGAAGCAAGGGACAGTTTCTAAAACGGGAGGCTATTATCTCTTTATTCAGAAGGAACACAAGCTGATAAATAAGTACTACCAGGTGCCCAGAAAGGGGATACAGGTAAACTACCTACTGAGTTCCATCTCTGGGGACTTGCTGAGGTGACTTTCAAGCTGCCGCAGAAACAACTAAAATAGTACATAGTGCCCCTGCCTTTCATTTATCTACTCACTGATTTATTCAGTAAGGGAGCCTAATGGGATGTAGAGCATGTTGTTTCTTGGAAGCGCAGATGGAGCCCTCCAAAAAATGTTTTTAGAGTTCATTCGTTAATTTAGTCATCCAATGATTTAACAATTATGTATGTAAGCCTAACTATATGTCAGGTCTTGTCAAGTTTCTGGGGTGCAGGCAATTAAAAAAAAAAGACAAACAACAAGTCCTCTCAAAGTATTTACCAGCAATAATAATAATACCAACAAAAATAACAAGTTAACACATCTAGAGCTTTTCGTGTTTCAGGAAATGAATGGGCTTAACTCATTCAATCCTCACAAGAATGCTATGAAGTACATGTAATTAATATCCCCATTTTATAAATATGAAAATTGAGACAGAGAGAAGTAAAAGAGCTCACACTGAAACAACACAGGTGATGACTGGTAAAGTGGAATGCCATTCCAGATAGCAGACTGTGCTCTTAACTGTTCCTTGTGCTGGTGTGCTCAGATTATATCAGATTATATCAGTTAGAATTAGGCTTGGGTATATATTATTTTTTTTAATGGTGGCTTTAAAAAGACAAAAGTTTCTTTCTCTCTTGTTTACAAGAAGTGAGGAAGAGGGAATCCAGACTGATATGACAACCCCGTAATAATATTGTTCTCAGGCCTCTTTCTTCATTCTGCTCTAGCACCTTAGCACATAGCCTCCCTTTTCAAGGTCAATTTATAGTCTAAGATGGCTGCTAGAGTTTCACCTATTAGTTCCATATTATATGTGGAAAGAAAAGGGAACAACGGAAGAGTAAAAGACCTTTGGGTCAACTCTCTTTAAGTTGAATTCCAAGAAGTACTATACAACACTTCTGCTTAAGTGTTGTTGGCCAGAACTTAATCATATGGGTATCCCAGTTACCAGGGATGTTGCATAGAAAACACAAAATTTTATCATGGTCCACAATGTGCCCATGTGGAAAAAGTTCAGAGTTCTAATACTAAGGACAAAGACAAGAATAATATTAAAATAACTCTAGCAGTCACTATCACAGTGACAAAAAGTGCCCTGAAGAACAAAGTAGGTTATAGGTATAGAAGAGGGAGGAAATGTGATACTCTTTTATATGTATGATTTACAGAAGGCCTTTCTGATGAAGTAATGTTTCAGCAGAGTCTTCAAAGGAGGAATTGAGTGAGGTGAATTGGTATCTAGGAGAAGAAAATTTCAAACATTGGAAAAGTACCAAAAAAGAAATTGGTTTATGTTCCAGGAATAGCAAGAAATATGGCAGGTGGGCAGTGAGCAAAGGAGGAGGTGGCGGGAGATGACGTCAGATAGGTGTTCAGAGGCCAGAGGCCAGACAAGGTAGTGCCTTGGAAGTCACTGAAAAAGTTTGAATTTTATTTAGAAAGAATAGGAAAATCAGTAGAGGATTTGGTTCATAAGAGTGAAGGGATCTTTTAAAAAATCATATAGCATAACATTAGCCGCTCTGAGAAAAATGGAGTGTAGTAGACCAAGAATGAAAGTAGGAAGACCAGTTATGAATCTAATGCAATCATCCAGGCAAGAAGTAATGATATCTTGGGCCAGGGCATTTGGGAGGATCAGATGACAAATGATGGGCTCTGGTTGGTTGTACTTTGAAGACAGAGCAAACATTATTAGCTGACGAATACATGTGGGATGTGTAAGAAAAAAAGATAACAAGGATAACATAAGGTTTTTAACCCATACAGTCAGAAAATCAGAGTTACCAAATTAAATAGCTAAAATTGGGGGGATTAGAAATGATACAGATTTGAGGGGGATCCAGAGTTGGGTTGTAGGCAAGTTTAGTTTGAAATACTATTTGAACTCTAAAATGATTTTTACATGGGTGATAAAATTAAATTGAATTAACAGATGTGTCTTTGAGCTTTGCTTAAACCCATAATCCCTATTTCCTAATTCTAACTTCCTCTGTATCACTAGACAGAAGAGACACTGAGGAAATACCTGGAGTCCAAGCAGGATGTGGCTGATGCACTTCTACAGACTAATCAGTCACTCATAGAAAAGGAAAAAGAGATAGAAGGTGAGAACAGCTGAAAACACTCTATAATGTTGGGAAGCCTTAGAAATGTTAATATAAGCCACATTAGTCCACCAGAAATCATTAATGAAGAACAAAGAATAGCAAGCACAGTTCATAGTTCAAGGGGATTTTTTTTCTTAACTGGAATTTACAATCATCTGCCTTTTGGTTACTCAATGCAAAATTATTACAAACAGTTTTCTCCATGAAATAAGAATAAAACAAAAAAGGGAAGCGAAAGGCAAAATAAGGCTATCATGTTTCTCTACTTATTTTTCTTCGTCAGTGGAACGTATGAAGGCTGAATCTGCAAAAGCTGCAAAAAAAATGTTGGAGGAAATGCAAGAGAAGAATGAACAGATGATGGAAGAGACAGAAAAGAGTCATCAGGAACATGTGAAACAGCTGACTGAGAAGATGAAGGACAGGACCCAGCTCATGGCAGAGCAACTGAGGATTCTACAACTTAAACTTCAGGTTTTTGATTGAGTCATTGCCATTTCATCTTCCACTTGGGCTGAATCAAAAACACTGCTTACAAGTTAGAGCATCATGTCAGGTTAAGGACTATGCTAGCAAAAACCCTAGTAGACATTTCATTCTATCTTCTACCTGTGACCATCTCTGGTTACTAAAGACTATTTACTTGCAGGATAAAATATCATGGAACCCTTCATTATTAAACCACTAGCTATTAAATCACAGTAGCTATTGATTGCCGAGCACTGCACAATGGCTGTATAGACAGTCTGTGGTTAAGTCCTAATATTATATTATAGGTACTATTATGTTCTCATTTTTCAAATGAGAAAATTATAGTTTCATGAGAGATAAGCAATGTTTTTGGGTCCCACCTTATGGAAAGTTATCTAGACTGTCCTACTGAGAGGATTCCAAGTGATTTTGTTTCTGCCATACCTGGTATAACTTCATCTCTGCAGGCACCCTGAAGAATAGGAAGATGCCATAATCGTCTATATAATTAACCACATAATTAAATACCCAGGTTGCCTGCACCTTCCTGTTCTCCAGACTCTACCCTAAGTCTACGTTGAATCTAAATACCCACCCAGAAACACAATATAGGCCAGTACAGGCCCTGAACTCTTCAAATTTGCCACCACAGTTGGAAGACTTGTACTAAGTTCCCTAATCAAACATCAGCCATGATTCTGAATCAGGCAGTAACCTTCCTACTGGAATGCACCCATCTTCCATACCTTCTTCGGTATATTTTTGAGAGTCCACACTACTTTGATCAGAGTTGAAGGAAAAAAAAATGATAGTTTTTCCAGAAAGACTGTGCTACATGTGGGTGAAGAGGGCCAAGAATATGATTCTGGGTCACTAATATTTTAAAACTATAAGTGAAGAACATTCCTGCAGCTAAAAAAAAAAAAAAAAAAAGCCCCGAAAAAAATATTAGCAGGCATAGGAAATTCGAAAGAGTGATAACAGTTGAAGTTTAAGGGAGGTAAGGATTTCCAAAATAACTTTCAAAAACTCATGAGGGATTAATGTAGGTATTGAGAGGGGAAATAATTTTGAAAATGTGGGAAATGTTTCAAGTTTTGTGAGTTTGGTCTCCACTTTCTCTTTTAGGAACAGGACCGGCTTCTCAAGGAGGGATTCCAGGAAGAGAGCAAGAAACTTCAAAATGAGATGAAAGCCATTCAGAGAAGCAGAGGATTTTTCCCAATATGTAACATACTCTAAAAATCCAAGGAACATAATTTCCTAACTAGCTCTCCTCCCCTCCGCTAGGAAGGAGTTAAAAGAGCAACTTCATAACATTAAACAATTGCCACTAAAATAAAGTTAAAATCATGATGCTTGTGTTTCTGTTGAGCCATAAAGTTTGCAAAGATGAAATAAACTGTGAAGGCAATGTTTTGCCTACAGAGTGGTTCAATTCATGATTAATCATAGTAATAATGATTAGTACGATTCTTAACTGGATACTATATTTGAAATCACGCATATTGACTCTACAGACACTTTAAAATGTATAATGGGATGTATTTTACAATGGGGAGGTAACAGATAGGGTTCTGTTTAGGATAGTCTTGCTTTCCCTTATGTATACCAACCACCTTCTGGATACCTTCAGTCCTTTCTATCACTCAAGGGTGTACTTTGGACTTGGAATAGGGTTGGAGTGTTGTGAACATAGAGCAATTCTGATGGAAGTGAACAAGCCATGGAGCATGATTGAGCTCAGTCCTGCCACGTGGTCATTGGCTTCTGGGCTGGCTGCAAATGAGGGAGATCTGGGACAACTGACTGCTAGGTGCAGACAGTGTACAGTTCTTGAGTGAGTGGTGGCTGCACGGTCTATGGGCACTGATGGGATTCCAGGATACTGGTAGGGGAATTGCTTGTCTTTGTGCAAAATGGATATCTGTGTGAATGTTCCACCTCCTATGTCTATAAAATCCCTCTAGGTAACTACTGCCCCTTCCACAGGCCACACTATCTCTCTCCACTATTATCTTTTCCTTAGTCTTTTCCTCCCACAACTCAGAGAGTAACTTCTACAGTGATAGGAAGGGAAGTTTTAACTCAAACTTGAAGTAAATTTTTTTCCATTCCTCTGAGAACCATGGTTAACTATAATCCTACAAAACCATTTCACTCTGCCCCTTTGCTATTGTGTTGGAATAACATTTTGAGGGGCAAAAAATGAAACTTGACCCTCAAGTTACACCATATGCGAAAATAAATTTAAGATAAATCACAGTCCTAAATGTAAAAACTAATATAGTAAAGCTTCTAAAAGAAAACATAGGAAAAAATCTTTATAACCTGGGGGTAGGTAAAGGTTTCTTAAATAGGATATAAAATATCATGCACCATATATAAAAAATTTATTAAATTTGACTTCATCAGAATTAAAATATTCCATGGCTATAATAAATAAGACAAGAGATAATAAATGCTGGCGAGCATATAGAGAAAAGGGAAACCTAGTGCATTGTTGGTGGGACTGTAATAGATGCAGCCGTTATGAAAAACATTATGGAGTTTCCTCAAAAATTGAAAATAGAACTACCATATGATTCCACAATTCCACTTTTGGATATATATCTGAAGAAAACAAAAACACTAACTTGAAAAAATACATGTACCCCCAAGTTCATCAAGCATTGTTTACAATAGCCAAGATATGGAAACACCCATATCTATGGTCCATTAACAACTAAATAGGTAACGAAAATGTGATTATATATATTTTTTTTTTCAGCCATAAAAAAAAATTTTTTGCCATTTGCAACAACATGGATGGACCTTGAGAGCATATACTAAATAAAGTAAGTCAGACAAAGAAAGACAAATACCATATGATCTCACATATATGAAATAAAAAAAAGAAAAACAAGCCCAATGATAAAGAGAACAGATGGTGGTTTCTAGAGGCAGGGGGGTAGAGAGTGGAAAAAATGGGTAAAGGGAGTCAAAAAGTACAAACTTCCAGTTATACAATAAATAAATCATAAGGATGTAATGTACAGCATGGCAACTATAGTGAACTATATTACACTGCATATTTTAAAGTTGTTCAGAAAGCTTAAAAGTTCTCATCACAAGAAAAAACATTCTGTAGCTATGTATGGTGATGAATATTAACTAGACATTGTGGTGATCATTGTGCAATATATCCAAATATCAAATCATTATGTTGTACACCTAAAACTAATATAATGTTGTGTGTCAATTATACCTCAATAAAAAAGAATTAAACTATTCTACTCATTAAAATAAGTCATAACAATTGACTTGTTTGTGACAGTTAACAAAGGAGAAAGGCCACCAACTAGGAGAAAATATTCACAATGAAAATATCAATCAAAGAACTCATATCCAGAATATATAACAAATTCCCTTAATCAAACTTATGGGCTGAAACTTTGTACCCTTTAATTAATACCTCCCCATAGGTAGATGACTCGATTAACAAACTGTGGTACATTTATACAATGGAGTATTACTCAGCCATAAAGAAGAATGAAATCTTACCATTTGCAACAATATGGATGGACCTGGAGAACATTATGCTAAGTGAAATAAGTCAGATGAAGAAAGACAAATACCATATGATCTCACTTACATGTGGAATCTAAAGAATAGAAAAAATGAACAAACTAACACGTCCCCATTAACCCTCTAGTCCCTGTCAACCACTAATCTACTCTGCTTCATTTAGTTGGATTGTTTGTTTCCTTATATAAGTGGTATCATGTAGTCTGTATGTCTGACTTACTTTAATTAGCATAATGTATTCCAGGCACATATTGTCACAAATTGCAGGATTTCTTTCCTTTTTAAGGCTGAATTATATTCTATTGTATGTAAATACCAGGTTTTCATCGTCTAGTCATCCTTCAAAGGATATTTAGCTTGCTTCCATATGTTGGTCATTGTACATAATGCTGTGGCGAACATCGGAGTGCAGATATCTCTGATCGTGTTTTCATTTTCTTTGGGTATATACCAAGAAGCAAGGTTGCTGGGTCATACGGTAGTTCTTATTTTTTAAATTTCTTGAGGAATCTTCATACTGTTTTCCATAGTGGCTGCACAAATTTACATTCCCACCAACAGTGTACAAGGGTTTCCTTTTCTCAACATTCTTGCCAGCATTTGTTTTCTTTTGTCTTTGTTTTTTAATACACATTCTGACAGGTGTGAAGTGATATCTAATTGTGGTTTTCATTTATATTTCCCTGATGATTAGTGATGTTGAGTACTTTTTCATATACCTGTTGATCATGTGTATGTTTTCATTGGAGAAATGTCTATTCAGTTACTTATCTTTTTAAATTGGATTATATATTTTTTGCTATTGAGTTGTAGAAGTTGTGTGTGTGTGTGTGTGTGTGTGTGTGTGTATTTAAATTTACTGGGGAAAGTGTGTTTTTCTAGGACCCATCAGCTCCAAGTCAAGTAGTTGTCTTCAATCTAGCTGTGGAGGGTGCAACTCAGTGGTCCATGTAGGGATCGAACCGGCAAACTTGGTGTTATGAGCCTGCGCTCTAACCACCTGAGCTAACTAGCTGCCTCTCTGTATATATTTTGAATATGAATCCTTTATTAGATATATGGTTTGCAAATATTTTCTCCCATTCCATAGCCTGTATCTTCATTTATTTATCCTTTGGTGTGAAAAAGCTTTTTTTTATTTAACCCTAATTGTCTGCTTTGCTTTTATTGCCTGTGTTTTTGGTATCAAATCCAAAAATAAAAAATAAAAATCTTTGCCAAGGCCAATTTCTAGAAGTTTTCTCCCTATGTTTTTCCTCTACCCTGTTTCTCTGAAAAATAAGCCCTTGCATGATTTTAAGTGCCAAAATATGACACCTTGGCATACTGGATATTTTAAGCTGAAGGAGTTGATGGAAAAGGCACCCTTCTCCCTGAAACAGGTCATAAAACCCTCATGTGAGGTGTGAGTGCCCTCCATATCCTGGAGGAATTATGCAAGGGCTTCTTCTCTGGCTGGGTCTTATTTTCCAGGAAACACGGTAGCAGTTTTAGGATTTAAGTCATATGTTAAAGTATTTAATCCATTTTGAGTTGATATTTGTGCATAGTATAAGAGTCCAATTTTATTCTTTTACCTGTGGATATCCAATTTTCCCAGCACCATTTGCTGAAGAGGCTGTACTTTCCCCATTCTGTATTCTTGGCACCTTGTCAAAGATCAGTTGACCATGTACGTATGGGTTTATTTCTGGGCTCTCCTTTCTGCTCCATTGGTCTATACATTTGCTTTTATGCCAGCACAATACTGTTTTGATTACCATAGATTTTCTAATATACTTTGAAATCAGGAAGTGTGATGCCTCCAGCTTTGGTTTTCTTTCTCCAGATTCCTTTTACCTTTGTGGTTAAATACAAATTTTAGGATTGTTTATTCTTTTTCTGTGAAAAATGACATTAGAATTTTGAGAGGGATTGAACTGAATCTGTAGATCCCTTTGGGTAGTATGGACATTTTAACAATATTTATTCTTCCAATCCATGAAAATGGAGTATCTTTCCATTTCTTTGTGTCTTCAATTTCTTTCATCAACGTCTTATAGTTTTCAGTGTACAGGTCTTTCACTTCCTTGGTTAAATTTATTCCAATGTTGTTTATTCTTTTTGGTACTATTGTAAATGGGGTCATTTTCTTAATTTCTCAGTCTGATGATTCATTGTTAGTGTATAGAAAGGCAATTGATTTTTGTATGTTGATTTTGTATCCTGCAAATTTATTGAATTGATTATTAGCTCTAACCATTTTTTTTGTTGTTGAGTCTAGGGTTTTCTACATATATTCCCATGGGCTTCCATTCTCTTACCTGGTAATTCACATTCAGAGCTCTCTTTCATGTGCTAGTTCACGATGGACTTACTTTGCTAGGGTCACCTATTCAAACAAAAGCATTTCTCTGACTGAAACATGACATCTAAACAGTATGCTTTCCCCATAGGGAAAGTATAAGAAGAAATAGTTTCTAAGACTTTCCTGTTACATTTGAGTGTTTTTCAAGAGTTAGCTAAGACCATGCTGAGTCATTGACTGATTCTTTCCAGCATGACTTGTGAAGTCATGGAAAGTTGGTTTCTCAATTTGGGGATGGTAATACAATTTGAGATAGAGCTGGATATAAAGCCTCCCATAACCCCAATGTTTAAATGCGAGGCTATCCAAACAACAATTTTGAGTGCAG